TTCCTAGCTAAAATGCTAGTTGTGACAAACCACTTGTTAGGAACATTACTGAGATTTATCAAGGTTATCATCACATGCCTGATATGATATGGATATGAACACTCGGAGAATAGGTGGTTGAGAGAGTCGAGGAAAAGATGAAAGAATCTGCAAGACATGTTTTGGTTGGGCTCCCAGGTGCAGATTCTATCATGAGTTTTGAGACAATCTTCAAGGGAAACCCATAAGATGAAGGCATGATGGGGGATTTTTTGAGAATAGCACATAAGATAGTGACACTCAACATCTAGCTCCTCATGCCGAAGTGTAACATCCAAATTTTGAGGTACATTGTAATTATGTTCTTTTATATTGAGGGCTGCAACGACGTGGTGAAGGACCACCACGACGTGGCAAGTCAAGATTAAAATGTAGATTTCATTTAGCCACCATGGCGTAGCAACCGCTTGATGAAAAAACCGTAATTTTCCAGGTTGCTCTCTATTTAAAAGAATGAGGAATCTAGGGTTAGCTCATCCTTAGCCTCCTCAAGCCTTGAAGAAACCCTAATCTCTTCCCTCCATTGTTGAAGCTCTTTTTGGTTCTCTTGGAAACTTTTAAAGGAAGAAGGAGAAAATTATTGAGCTAGGATCCAACACACAAGTTTCCATTATTTACCTTGGCACTATGTATGGACCTTTATAAGTGTCCTAAACTCAACTTATATCGAGTTGATGGAGGATCCTCTCCGGATCTTTAGGACCGATCTAGCTGTTGGTCAGTACGGAGCTCACACTTTCTCCTTCAAGGATTCCAGGGGAGGTGAGGCGCCAGAGTTATTTGAGGCGCCAGAGTTATTTGAGGCGCCAGAGTTATTTTGGGCGAAGGAGTCCATTGCTGCCAGACAATGGATAGAAAACATGTAATGTGCTCAAATGATCGACTAGCTTCTTCCCCGAGGGGTCGAAGGTGAGGTTCGTTACAGGCTGTCTGAAGGATCGAATCCATGATTGGTGGGAGGAGGTTGGTTATGCTCTGGGAGCCCCAACCATTGAGGTCATGACCTGGTCGAATTTTGTGACCCGGTTCTGAGCGGAGTTTGCACTGGCTGTTGTGGTATTTTGGAGAAACTCACTAAGCTTTTTGCTTACAGTTTTTTGTTTATGGTTTCGGGTACTTCCAGTTTGAAAGAGAAGGGTCCGACATGATCGCACCGCATCCATCAATATTCCACATTTTATGACTTGATTTGTACTCTTATAACTAATTTATACATTATCATGTTTTGAGGAGCTTTTGAAATAAATGAATGATGCTTCTGTTGTTTTAAAAATGAAATTTTTACTTAGAAAATTTTGGGACGTTACACGAAGGCTAAGCCAAGCTTCACGAATAGAAAAAGGAATAAGAAGACCCACTTTGTTGCGCCAAAAGAGTTTATCAGGGCAAAATGGGAAATAGAGGGCAGGGGTGGTTGCTAAGAGAACCAATACACAAACGATGAGGACAAACCTAATTACCACTAGAGACAATGTTTTTTTTTTAAAGTAGCATCAGGGGAGAAACTCGCTCGGTGAATAACATAGGTGGTAAGGAATCGCGAGAGGGGACCGATAGGATGCCAGTTGTCATACCACACAAAAGCCGTGTTACCATCTCCAATCTGAGAAATAATAAAGTCTCTAATCTTTTCACGCATAGCAAAGAGGTTATGCCAAGCCGATCCGATGTCGTTTTTAGTCGCGACATCCCAAAATTTTTGGCCTCAGAGAGTCTTTACGAATGAATCCATTTCACCTAGAGGGAGTCCTTGCAGGTAAGGACCCTCCAGATGTGAGAGGTCATAAGAGCAATATTTCAAGTGGACATACTCTTTATACCAATGCCACCTTAAGTTACAAACAACTTTCCAAGAGACTTTGGTTTTTCCTCTTTTCAGCTCACCTTAGCACCAAAGAAAACCTCTCACGAGCTCTTTTATATTGTCAAATATCTTTTAATTTTATAAGTATTATATATGCTTAGAAATAACAAATTAAATGTGAGACTTTATAAAATATGTTACAAGGATGATGGTAAATTATTTTACTTCATAACAACTTATAAAAATAGTCAATGAATGAAAATAATTTAAATTGATAATATTTTATTTGATAAAAATTAATATATTTTTTATAGGAAAGTAAAAGTTATACATGATGCCAATTATTTGAGATACTCCACTGCACTTAGAAATACAAAGAGTCATTATGATATCATTAAATTAAAATATAAAGTTGGTTCTTGACTAGGTTATAAGAATTTATCATAATTCTTTTGAACTATCCATGTTAAAATATTTCTGATGATATTATCCTCTTTGAAAGTGAGATTATGGTAATGACTTTAATATAATTAAGGATTAGGATTTTCATTGACACATATAAAAAACAATAATTATAACAAATATTATTATAATTAAATATAAAGTTTATCATAAATAAATATGAAATGCATTAATAATCTTCATAAAAAATTCATTTTATATTTAATTATAATAATATTTTTCATAATTAATGCTTCTTATATGTATCTTTACGATATATATTAAAATATCTCGGAACGATTTTAATCGGATAGATTTTAAGTAGTAAAAATTTATTTGAGTAATGAATGAGATCTTAAGCTTAAATAAAAGTAAAAGCATCTCTAACGAGAGCTTTTTTTATAGCTTATTACTATACATTTTTTTTTTCTTTGACCACTCTTTAGCATTGGAGTATATAGCTTTTTTGCTTTTTTATTTTGACCACTCAATATATATTGAGTGGTCAATTTACTTTCACAACTAATACATTTTACCCCTTATACATTAACCATATTTCAATTTACCTCTTTAATTTTAAATATTTTTTAGTTCTTTACTAATTAATTATTTCTATTAACTATTTAATAACATCTTATTTATAAATATAACTTATATGAGGACAATATATTATTTTTAATGTTTTTAAAATATTATTTGTGTTTAAAATAGACTAATTAAATGATGAAGTTTTATAAAACATTTTAGAAAAATGAGGGTAAATTAGTTAAATTTATGAAAAAAACTATGTAAGTAAGCTTAACCATTGGAGCATTCATTTATTTAGAGTTCAAAATTAAAAGAATAATGATTTGTTACTTGTTTTAAGTCATAGTTAACTTAAATATTAGAGATGCTCTAAGAAGTATCTTTGTATATTTGGAGTGTAACTACTATTATAAATATGGTTATTTCCATAAAAGACCCTATATTCTGACTTTTTTTCTTTTTAAACCTAATATTTTTTTCTTTTCCTAAAAAGACCCAACTTTTATGTGTTACTTGTTATTTCAAACCTAGCAGGTCACTAATAGGTAAGTTAGATATTTTTGTTTCATAAAAGACCCTATATTTTGTAGTTGTTTCCATTTTAGACCTAAAATGTTTTTTTTTTCAAAATAAACTCAACTTTAAAATTGGTTATAATCTTCAAGACCAAATATATAAAATACTTTTTGACTACACCGAAAAAGAAAGTATACATGTATACACTAAAAAATGTTATCTAACTTATTATCCTTTGAGCGAAATAACCTAAAAGAATTGCAAAATTTTATTATTATCTAAAAGATATGATTAAACTTTATCTTGAATAAATATTATATCATTAAACATGATATATTGTTTATAGAAAATGTTATTATTACCGATGATAAAAAGTTTAATGTTAATTTGATATTTTTTGGTGACATGGATAATACATAGCTAAGAAGAATCTTTTAGCATAATAACAATTTTTTTTATTTGTAGAAAAAAATACCATATAATTTAACAAACTGTATACAAAATAATTTTTTTAGTTTGTCTATTATACTGTGAGTTTGTACATATTTCCCTCTCTCACTTTTCTATATTATTTTTTTGGCTGAATTTTTTAATCATTTTTTTTAGAACAGTTAATAAACGCACTCACTATCATACTCCTAAACTAAAGCCATAGAATATTTTGTAGCATTAGCCCATTATTAAATAATATGTTATAATTATATCAAATAAATACATAAAAATATTAATCCTAAACATTGTATTAGTTTTGTTTAGATATATGAGATTCAAGTTTAAGGCTTTCTTAAAAAATGTTAACATCACATATGAATACATAAAACTATATTTTGGGAATGAAAGCGTTTGAGCATAAGTTGAAAATCCAAATAACAAGAATGATACCGCACACTTAAATATCAAAATAGTATGGTTGACATTATTAACAATGGTTGGAATGTGGTGAATGAGCAAAACTGATAAAACTATGAAATTTTGTTGTAGAGAAAAGAAAATTGAATAGTTGGCCTACTACCTCATTTTATTAATCTATCTTATGTATACATGGTGTTTGTATATCACTATTATTGAATCTTAAGGATGATCATAATAATTACCAAAATAAAATTTAGGATTTCATTTTAATTTGAAAGGATATAATCACGTTTTTACGCATGAACGAAGTTAAGCTTCATTAAATCGGTGTAGTTAAGTACCTTATACAACTAGTGTTAAAGGTTGTAACCAATTTTAAAGTTGAGTTTATTTGGAAATTAAAAAAAAAAACTTTTTAGGTCTAAACTGGAAAAAAGTACAAAACGTAGGGTTTTTTATGAAATGAAAATACTTGATTTCCCTTTTGGTAACCTGCTAGGGTCTAAAATAACAAGTAATAGGTAAAAGTTGGGTCTTTTTCGGAAAAGAAAAAGTTTTAGGTCTAAATAGAAAAAAAGCAAAATATAAGGTCTTTTATGGAAATAACCCTTCCTTAAATTGGATGTAAAGTTTGTTTCTTTTGAATTTGGATATAACTGTCAATTTTTAAATAGGTCAAGGGCAATTTATGTAATCCACTATAAAATGGATTTGGGGGGATTATTATCTCGTTACTATTTTTCAAGTTTCAGCTGCTCAGTTTCGTCACCATTCTTGCTGTTGCAGAAACTTGTAGATGAAATCACTCAAATGAGACCCCATGCCCATAAAGCTTCAATCATCAGCACTATCTCTCATGATCTCCAGCTTCTTAGGCTCATGTCGTCCTCTCTCGATCTTTATCATCCGTCGCCTTTTGTCAACCCAACAGAAAATCAACTCAAGAAAAGTACCTCCATACGAAAACGCAGATCGATCTTATATGGATTTATCTCAGAAATTCTACGAATCGATGAAAGCATGCGTAAATATTCGGTCGAAACCCTTGGCTCGAGGACTACATTGTCAGCTTATCACAACTGGGGTAGACATTTCAACTTTTGTCCAGAACAATTTAATCAACTTGTACGCCGGTTGTGGTTTGATCGATGACGCGTCTTTAGTATTTCATGAGATTGAATTAAAAAATGTGTTTAGTTGGAACACGATGATTGAGGGATTGATAGATTCAGGACGAGTTACAGCTGCAGAGAAGGTGTTTGACGAAATGCCTCAAAGGGACGTTGTTTCATGGAACTCTATGATGTCTGGTTATTATCGTAATGGGTTTCCAGAGAAGACTATCGATGGTTTCATTTCAATGGTCCGATGTTCTACCACTCTTCCCGATGCATATTCTTTCAGTTGTGTAATGAAAGCCTGTGCTAGCCTCGAAAATCTCAACTTGGCTTTCCAACTACACAGTTTTTCTGAAAAGTTCAAGTTTTTAGGTGATGATTCTGTTGATTCGTCAATAGTTGATATGCACATCAAGTGTGGAGCTCCAGATATTGCTGAACATGTTTTCTTGAAGATGCCAAACCCAAATTTATTTTCTTGGAATTCTATGATCTATGGTTACTCACAACTATATGATGCTCAAAGGGCCTTGGAACTGTTCGATCAAATGCCTAAAAGAGATCTCGTTTCTTGGAACATGATCATTTCAATATTGTCTAAGCATGGCCATGTCACAAAGACCCTTGGTATGTTCATTGAGATGTGTATCCAAGGCTTTAAACCAAATTCCAAGACATATGCAAGTGTCTTAAGTGCTTGTACAAGCGCACATGAACTCAAATGGGGAATCCACTTACATGGGAGAATTGTCCGAATGCAACAACATATCGATGCATACATTGGCACTGGTCTAATAGACATGTATGCCAAATGTGGACACTTCAAAAAAGCACGCAAAATATTTAACAATTTGAAAGAACACAACATTGTATCATGGACATCAATGATAGGAGGAGCAATACATAGTGGCAATGAAGTGGAAGCCATTTCATTGTTCAAACAAATGAAGGAAATTCCAATAACCTCTGATCAATTCACTCTAGCAACTGTTCTTGGAGCTTGTTGTGGTTTAAAAGATATTCACCTCGGAACCCAAATCCATGGATACTCAATCAGAATCGGAATGGAATCTCTAATTCCCGTAGCAAATGCTCTTGTTACAATGTACGCGAAATGTGGCGACATTTGTAATGCAAATCATGCATTTAAGTTAATGACATTCAAAGATATCATATCATGGACAACCATGATCACGATATTTTACAATATCGGGAACATAGAAAAAGCTCGGGAATATTTCGATCAAATGCCGGAACGGAATCTTGTATCTTGGAATTCAATGTTGAAGGGGTACGTACAAAATGGGATTTGGGAAGAGGGTTTTAAGGTTTTTGTTTTAATGAGACAAAAAGGAGTTAAACCGGATTGTATTACTTTTATAACTTCAATAAGCGCGTGTGCTAATGCAGCCATTTTAAAACTCGGGAACCAAGTAGTCTCTCAAAGTGTAAAGTTTGGGTTTGGAAATGACGTTTCGGTAAAAAATAGTATAATTACAATGTACTCAAAATGCGGGCAAATTCAAGACGCAAAAAAAACATTTGATTCGATAGTGTCAAAGAATTTGATTTCATGGAATGCGATGATGGATGGGTACGCGCAAAGTGGCGAGGGAAATTTAGTAATTGATACGTTTGAGAAAATGATATGGTCGGGCATACTGCCCGACCATATTAGTTACGTATCCGTCCTATCGGGTTGCAGTCATTCAGGGCTGCAACCCGAAGGACAACGTTATTTCAATATGTTGCTAAAAGATGAAAGAATTTCACCAACTTGCGAGCATTACGCGTGTATGGTGGATTTACTTTGTCGTGCGGGATTTATTGAAAAAGCAAAAGATTTAATCGACAAAATGCCAATTGAGCCAAATGCTGCGGTATGGGGAGCTTTGCTCGGTGGTTGTAGGATTCATGGGAATGCAACAATGGCGGAAACGGCTTTAAAGAATCTTGTGGTATTGGACGCGGAAGATTCCGGAAGCTATGTGTTGTTAGCGAATCTTTATTCCGATTCCGGGGAGTTGGATTCCGTTTCCGATGTGAGACGGGTTATGAAGGAGAAAGGAATAAGGAAAAATCCGGGTTGTAGTTGGATTGAAGTTGATAATAGGGTGCATGTTTTTACTGTTGATGATACAAATCATCCAAGAATTAATGATGTTTATAAAAAATTGGAGGAGATTATTAAAAAGGTTGAAGATGTAGGAATGTATTCTAGTAATAAGGCGAAGGCTTATCATAGTGAGAAGCTTGCGATGGCTTTTGGGTTGATGAGTTTGCCAGCTTGGATGCCTATTCATATAATGAAGAATCTTCGTATATGTGATGATTGTCATTCGGTGATGAAATTGGTATCTCTTGTTACTTCAAGGGAACTTGTAATTCGAGATGCAAATCGGTTTCATCATTTCCGGGATGGGTTTTGCTCATGCCGGGATTACTGGTGAAATGGAAACTAGGTTTAGTATGATGGAATAGAATCTCAAACGAATAGAATGGAATCACAAACGATGGAATGCACAACTTAATATAATACAAGGTGGTTGATGAATCATTTTATTCTAACATGATGCTTGGTTATTTAAAGGAATGAAATGAATCATTCAAACTTCAAACATGTTTTTATTATGTATTATTAAGAAAAGATTAAATTAAATTGATAAATAAAAAAAATGTTATTTTATACAAATAAACTTCACAATCGACAGAATGAGACAACAAAATGGTTCTTAGACAACAAAATGATTTATAAAGCTCAATTGAAGTGAAAAACATTGGTAATATCTAACAACATTGTATGAAGCATATACTTAGCATCTCATACTACGAAACTCCCGGTAAATTTACTCACATAATTAAAGAATCAAAGTCACATTGTTTTACATGTTTGACACCCTTTGTCTCTTATAAATCCTCATGTTCGAATGATCAAATCAAAAAGTCCACTCCCAAAAATGGCAATAAAAGTTTTATCAGCACTCGATGCAGCAAAAACACAATTTTACCACTTCAAAGCAATCATAATCGCGGGAATGGGCCTATTTACAGATAGTTATGATTTATTTTGTATCCCCGTAGTCATGAGAATGCTTGGAAGAATTTATTACCCCGAAATCCATCGAACCATTGACCAAAGAAAATGGTTCGAGGTCCCATCCGTCATTGCATCCACTATGATTGGTGTTGCGTTAATGGGGACGGTGATCGGGCAGCTAGTTTTCGGGCGGCTTGGTGACCTTGTCGGGCGGCGCCACGTGTACGGCGTTTCGTTAATAATGATGGTGGTGGGGTCCATTGGGTGTGGTTTCTCGTTTTCAGTTTTGACTCCGATGGTGTTTGTTAGTCTTGGATTTTTTCGGTTTTTGCTTGGGGTGGGAATTGGTGGGGATTATCCGTTATCTGCCACGATTATGTCGGAGTTTGCTAATAAGAGGACACGTGGAACGTTTATTGCAGGTGTGTTTTCTATGCAAGGGTTTGGGATACTGTTGAGTTCGCTTATTACAATGATTGTTTGCTACATTTTTAGAGGTTTTAGTGATAATTTAAGAACGGTGTCGAAACTCCCGGAGTCAGAAACAACTGCACCGGTGTTGGGAATGCAACAAAACAAGTTAAACACTTCTAAAAAATTGATATAACGATTTCGGCAACACTTACGGAATAAAACTAATGAAAAATAGCAAACGAAATTGAACACGATATTTAACGTGGTTCGGTCTAATTTGACCTACATCCACGGGCGAACGAGAGAGAGGAGATTTTATTAACACCAAAGAAAATTACAATCATACAAGGCTAAAAAACTTCCCTTGTAATCTGATCACTCACTGTAAGATATCACTCGTAATTTTTTGGCTGCCAAAAATTAAGGCTCTGCACAAAAATAATACCTCACTAATTTCTTTCTGTGTATATATAAGAACTTGAGTTGTGTGTTGCGCTCTGTGCTTGAAAGAAAGATGAATATTTATAGTAGTAAGTGCCGTAAACATTTATTTTCCTTCCTTTAGTGCGGCCGATTTTCTTGACAAATAGAGCCGTCCAAATCTTTTGACCATGCAAAAAATGCATCCAATTAATAATTCTCCACCGTCCAATTGAATATTTAATTCAAACGTTTGCCGACAACAATTGAATAATTCAATTGTTAAATGTAATGTTACATTTATGGCCCTTGAACTCTTAGGAACTTGTCAATTTGTTCAAGACTCCATAAGTCTTAACAATCTCCCACTTGGAGGCTTGAACAACTTCGCTTTTCTCTGCCATCCAAAACTTTGCGACATTCCTTAGTCACACTCTCTCTCTCTTTCTCTCTCGTTCTCTGCCATGCCTTTTCTCAAACTTCTGAAAGGCCAGTTGAAGCCATACAAAGCTTCAATTTTTCAGTGGTAACCACCTTGGTGAACATATCTGCTGGATTCTTCGTTCCAAGGATTTTCTTCAGATTTAGAGTTCCATCATTAATTAATTCTCGAATGAAATGGTACCTCATCTGAATGTGTTTCGTTCTACTATGAAACACTGGATTCTTTGCCAAGTAAACTGCACTTTGGTTGTCACAATGCAATACACAATCCTCCTGATACATTCCAAGTTCTGATAGAAAGTTCTTCAACCATATAAGCTCTTTGGCTGCTTCTGCAATAGCCATATACTCTGCTTCTGTGGTTGAGAGAGCAACACTCTTTTGTAACCTGGACATCCAACTGATTGATGTACCTCCAATTGTGAACACATAACCTGTTGTGCTCTTTCCTGAATCCACACATCCACCCAAATCAGCATCGGCGAACCCTTCCAAGATCACACCCTTTCTTCTGAAACATAGGGCAACCTCAGATGTTCCTTTCAAGTAGCGTAACAACCACTTTACTCCCTCCCAATGCTCTTTTCCTGGATTTGACATGAACCTGCTCACAACTCCCACTGCATGAGCAATGTCTGGTCTGGTGCATACCATAGCATACATCAAGCTACCAACTGCAGATGCGTAGGGAACTTTAGTCATCTGGTTCTTGTCTTCTTCCGTCTTTGGGGATTGCTTCTTTGAGAGTCTCAACTGACTTCCCAAAGGTGTACTTCTGGCTTTAGCATATGCCATGCTGAACTTTTCTAAAACTTTCTTGAGGTACTTAGCTTGTGAAAGTTTTAATGTACCGGTAACTCTGTTCCTGGCTATGCTCATGCCCAATATCTACTTAGCAGCCCCTAAGTCCTTCATCTCGAACTCTCCGGACAACTGCTTCTTAAGCTTGTTGATTTCCTGCATGTCGGACCCAGCTATCAACATGTCATCAACATATAATAACAGGATGATGTATGAGGAGTTGAATTTCTTCAAGTAACAACAGTGATCCATTTCACATCTGTGATACCCACTCCTCTGCATGAAGCTATCAAACTTCAAGTACCACTGTCTTGGAGCTTGCTTCAATCCATACAGACTTTTCTTTAATTTGCACACCAGGTTTTCCTTGCCAACTGTTGGGAAACCCTCTGGTTGTGCCATGTAGATGTCTTCTTCCAGGTCACCATGGAGAAAAGCTGTCTTCACATCTAGCTGCTCTAGATGGAGATCTTCAGAGGCTACAATTCCCAAGACCATTCTGATTGTAGTCATCTTCACAACTGGGGAGAATATCTCGTTGTAGTCAACACCCCTCTTTTGTTGGAAACCCTTTACTACCAATCTGGCCTTGTATCTTTTAGTGCCATCAATCTCATCTTTGACCCGAAACACCCATTTGTTCTGCAGTGCTTTCTTCCCTGCCGGGAGCTTGACCAAGGACCAAGTATGGTTCTTATCAAGTGAGCTCAACTCGTCTTCCATAGCCGTCTTCCACTGTATGGAATCTTTCATCCTTAAGGCCTCTGGATAAGATTCTGGTTCACCATTCTCAGTCAACAGCAAGTAATTAGCTGAAGGAGAATACCTTACTGGAGGTCTTCGTGCTCTAGTGGATCTACGAATAATAGGAGTTTCGGTTTCTGCATCATCTGCAACCTCATCTTCTGAACTACTATCCACTGTGCTCCCACTATCTCCAGATACATCAGAGCTCCCACTGCTTCCTGAACTTTCACCTATCTCTGGAGTACTAATAGGTTTTACAACGTCATCGTCTGAGATTTCTTCTAACTCAACTTGATCCTTCTTTTCTGGTTGCTTGTCACCATTGGAGCTTTTTGCAAGTTCATCCTTGTATAGAGCATTCTCGTTGAACACCACATCCCGACTTCTGATAACTTTCTTATTCTCATTATCCCAGAAGCGGTACCCCATGTCATCCAACCCGTAACCTATAAAGGTGCACTTTCTTGCCTTTGCCTCTAGCTTGTCTCTCTCCGAGTCTTTGATTTTGACATACGAAACACAACCAAATACCTTCAAGTGTTTGAGCGAAATCTCCCGACCTTGCCATTCCTCTTCTGGAATCTTGAACCCTATGGGGACTGAGGGTCCTCTGTTGATTAAATATGCAGTTGTGTTGACCGAATCTGCCCAGAACATCTTGGGTAAACCTGCATGTAGTCTCATGCTTTTAGTCCTCTCGTTCAATGTTCGGTTCATCCTTTCTGCTATTCCATTTTGCTGAGGTGTCTCCGGAACCGTCTTCTGCATTCTGATTCCTTGGTCAGCACAATAATTAACAAATTCTTTGCTACTGTATTCGCCCCCATTGTCTGATCTGAAACACTTGATTTTCAAGTTTGTTTCATTTTCTACAATAGCTTTCCATTTCTTGAATGTGCTGAAAACTTCAGACTTATGCTTCAAGAAATAAACCCAAACTTTCCTTGTGCAGTCGTCAATGAAAGTAACGTAATATCGGGACCCTCCCACTGAAGAAACTGAAGTGGGACCATAAACATCTGAATGTACTAGCTCCAACTTCCCGGACTTGGGAGGACGACCAGTCTTCACGAAAGTAACTTTCTTCTGTTTACCAAGAACACATGGCTCACAGAAAGCAACTGTTACAGTCTTCAGATCTGGAATTCTTCCTTTGGAGGCTAGCATCTTCATTCCCTTCTCACTCATATGGCCAAGTCTTTGGTGCCATAGAGTAGATGCCCCAACTTCTTCAACAGCATGTGCTTCAGCATCAGAAACTTCCACCATATAAAGTGTACCCCGCTTCTGACCTCTAGCAACAACTAAGTTTCCCTTTGTCACTTTCCACTGATGATCACCAAATGTAACATGGTGACCTTCATCATCAAGCTGCCCCACAGATATTAACATCCTTTTCAAGTCTGGAATGAACTTGACATTCTTCAAAGTCCACTTCATACCCAAGGTTGTCTTGAGGACCACATCCCTAACTCCAGTAATATCCAGGCTCTTGTTATCTGCTAATCTGACTTTCCCTTTGTACTGCTTAAAATTATGCATTACTTCTCTGGAATGACTAGCATGAAACGACGTGCCAGAATCCATGATCCAGGATTCAGTTGAGTTTTCAACACAACAAATGAGTGCATCATCTTCAGAATCTGCTGCCATATTTACTTCCTTCTTGCCTTTGTCTGCCGAAGGCTTTGGGCACTGATTTCTGAAATGACCTTTCTCATTACAGTTCCAACAGGTAATATCTTTCCTGTTCTTCGATTGACCTCTCTTTCTTGACTTCGATCTTCCTCTACCACCACCTCCTCTGTTGGTCTTTCTTCCTCTGCCTTCAGTAGTTAGAAGACTACTGGAACCTTCTCCGGCACTCCTTCTGCGCACATCCTCACCAAGGATTAAATCGCGAATACCTTCGAATGATAGCTTGGCACCTCCGGCTGAACTGCTAACGGCGGTCACTGTGCCGGACCAACTATCGGGTAACGATGATAATAGTAGCAACGTCATGACTTCATCTTCAAATCCAATATCAACAGATATCAATCTTGATATTATTGAGTTGAATTTGTTTACGTGATCTGTCACCGAGCTACCCTCCTTCATCTTCAGATTTACAAGTTGTCGGATCAAGAAAATCTTATTTGCCGCTGAAGGTTTTTCGTACATATTAGACATCGCATTTATCAGACTGTAGGTTGTCTTCACATTGACAATATTGTAAGCTACATTCTTTGCCAATGATACCCTTATCACTCCGAGTGCCTGCCGATCTAATAAGTCCCACTCCTCCAGCGTCACCTCTTCGGGTTTGTCTTTGGACAAAGGTTGGTGTAACTTCTTTTGGTAGAGATAATCTTCAATTTGCATTTTCCAGAAACCGAAATCTTGACCATCAAATTTTTTGATCTTAACTTTCCCATCTTCAGCCATAGCTCTGATACCAGTTTGTTGGGAATGCAACAAAACAAGTTAAGCACTTCTAAAAAATTGATATAACGATTTCGGCAACACTCACGGAATAAAACTAATGAAAAATAGCAAACGAAATTGAACACGATATTTAACGTGGTTCGGTCTAATTTGACCTACATCCACGGGCGAACGAGAGAGAGGAGATTTTATTAACACCAAAGAAAATTACAATCATACAAGGCTAAAAAACTGCCCTTGTAATCTGATCACTCACTGTAAGATATCACTCGTAATTTTTTTGCTGCAAAAAATTAAGGCTCTGCACCAAAAAAATACCTCACTAATTTCTTTTTGTGTATATATAAGAACTTG